TAGGGTTCCGGGTTTGGTTTAGGGTTTAGGGTTTAGGGTTTAGGGTTTAGGGTTTAGGGTTTAGGGTTTAGGGTTTATGGTTTGGTGTGAAGGGTTGGTGGGTTTAGAGGGCGTTTGGTGTCAGACTTTGAGTTACCAAGTCTCGGATTCTCTGGTCTTTGCAGCTATTCGGGTGCCGTAGGCCTCTACATAGGGTGTTCTAGAATGTCACAAGGGGCTCTCTTTGCCTTGTAGCCTTTAACCCTTGAATAAAAACCCGCAACCCTGAACCCTAAACCCTAAAAACATAAACCCCTGAAGCCCTAAACCCCTAAACCCCTCAACCCCTCAACCCCAAACCCCAAAGCCCTGAAACCCTAAAGCCCTAAACCCTACCCCAAGACCTCGGTCGGAATGCTTCGGACATTGCACCGGGTATGGCGCTCTGCGGGGCAGGGTTTGGGGTGTAGGGTTTCGGGGTTTATGGTTTAGAGTTTAAGGTTTATGGTTTAGGGTTTAAGGTTTAGGGTTTAGGGTTTCAGGTTTAGGGTTTAGGGTTTAGGCATTAGCATTCAGGGTGAAGGCTTTGGGGTTTTGTTTCAGGGTGTAGGCTGTGTAGGCCTTAGGGGTCTAGGGGTTTGACGGTTTGGGGTTGCGGGTTTAGGTTTTAGGGGTTCGTTGAACGGCTGGGAGTATTGAAAGCTACCTGTCCTGACGGTAACCAAAAGCTTGTATGACAAGAACATGATACATTGAGGTTATGGTGACAAGTTTGGTTTAGCGGTGCGCAATGGTCGTCAAGCAGCAACTATAGCGGCAAGGGTAACTTCTTTCCTTCGATTGCCACCCTTAGGGCCCTACTCTAACTGAGCCAAACCTACGCAAACCCGAAATGCTTAAGCCTAACACATCAGACTCGTAGAAACCCTATACGTAGAGCAATCTTTGAAACCCTCAAGATACTGTATCAAGCTCCTAAACCCTAAACCCTAAACGAAACCGTAGAGGAGCGTAACCTGCCGACCCAAAGCCTCAGCTGTCTTCTTTCAGGCCACGAGGGAAGCTGTGTAGCGCTTTCGGTGTGGACTTCGCCAGGAGAGGGGGGGGCTCATGGCTTCGGGTTGTAGATTTTTGAGCCTAAACCCTAAACCCTAAACCCTAAACCCTAAACCCTAAACCCTAAACCCTAAACCCTAAGGGGTTCAGGGTAGGAGGTGCTTGGGTTTGTGGAGTTCGCTGTGGGGCTTCGGGTATGAGGGGCTGTTGGGCTTGGGAGCTTCGGGGCTCAGGCTTGGGAGTATCAGGGCTGCGAGTCTTCGGGGTGTTTGGGGTTTAGGGTTTAGGGTTTGGGGTTTAGGGTTTAGGCGGTCGAGGTGTGGAGGGGAGGCGTTGTAATTCAACGATTTTGCGGGGTTTAGGGTTCAGGAGTTTCGACGCTGAACATCTGAGATGTAGTTACTGCTACACAGTTTGACCTCCGTGTCGGTATCCAGCACCTGGAACCTGCTATTGCTCCCTAACCACGAAGCTCTCCATCCAAGATTGCTCAACCCGGAAACCCCGAAGCCCACAGCACTGAGCCATCAACGCCAAAACGAAATGCGTTCGCCCCAATTTGAAAACCCTGAGACCAAACCCGATGAGCCTGAACCCCAACCTGCAAAGGGCCTCCCTGCTGCACCGAAAGCCCCATAGCATTGAGAAACCCCTACAGGCCTAAACCCTTAACCAACAAAACATTGAACAGCCACAAGTCCTCAGGAAACAAACCCTCCAAAACAACAAGCCCAAAAAACCCTACGAAACCTAACGTGCAAACACATCCCAGAGACACAGACAACTGAAACGCACCAGGGACAAATATCCTTAAAACAAGAAGCGCTCCAGAAGAACGACACATTAAAGAAGTAAAGGCATAAACTTGTAATGTAGTGGCCTTTGTATATTATGCTAGAAGTAAATGAGGAACCCCCAAAATAATATAGGTAATCATTTAGGCCCCTATGCTAGGAGCTTGCCGACCAGCCTACGGAAGCTGGAGCTCTTCGTCGACCTGTCCCGAGAAGCGACGCTGGCGCTGTTGGGGCGGTCCGGCTCAGAAAGACCTGCCCCGGTTCGATTGCCATGTTTATGTTTTCGGTTTTTGAGTTGCTTGGTATTGCCTTCCTTCGTTGTAGCATTCTTCTACTGCTTCTGTTATCTGGCTTGTTTTTTTTTGATCGTTTTGACAGGAGGTTACCAGGGCTTGAGGGTTTTCATAAATCTTCATGAGATTCGAAAGGGTTTAGGGTTTAGGGTTTTCAGGATTGTACGGTGGATGTGGGAGCTTCAGCGCGTAGAAATGGGCTACTGTAAGGTTTAGGGTTTAGGGTTTAGGGTTTAGGGTTTAGGGCAGCATTCAGGGGGTACCGTAAGGTTTTCACTTTAGGGTTTAGGGTTTGGAGGAGTGGTGTAGGGTTTGGGTGGGTTTCGGTGCAGCGATGCAGGGGTTGTTGTTTGATACTGCCTACATTCTGCGGCGCCTCGTTAGGCAAAGCCGAAGAAAAGAAAAGACAAGCAACTTGTTTTGATCCTTAAAGGATCAACCCGAAACCTCAAAAGCCTTTGAGGGCTCGGGTTTGTGGGGGGTCGGGGGTCCAAGGAGGACCACAAGGAATAGGGTTCACAAACCCATAGCCTGAACCATAAAGCCCTTAGCTCTAAACACACAAACCAAGCCGGAACTCAAAGCCTTAAATGCATTAACATGCCTACGCCCTAAATCCCATGGCACAAAAGTCCTAAATGCCCTAAACAGATTTTGCAAGCTTATTATTCCCTGAACCCTAAAATCGTGTAAGCCCGAAAAGCAAAACCCGAAGCAATGAAAGCCTCAAACACCCTAAGCCCGAAACCCTAACAGCCCCAAAGGGCTTCAAGCCTAAACCCTTAACGCCTCCAGCCCTAGAAATATAGGAGCCGAAGAAAGCACCAATATCCTCACTCTGCCTGTAGTGCATTATACCGTTACCCCCAGGCTTTGTTATTCTAGAACCCTTATACTAAACCCTCTTCAAGGAACCCTTTAAATGGAGCCCTATAGATTAATCCTCAAAGCCCCTATAGCAGCCCTGCAAACCCTAAACCCTAAACCCTAAACCCTAAACCCTAAGCACTTAAAAAAAAAACCCTAAACCCTAAACCCTAGAGTCCAACTTCCGAGGTGCCTTCCACGCCAGCTTTCCGAGCTGAACATGCACGTGGGAGACCGCACCTGGGATCTTTACGGGTTCATAAGAGCTAGGGCTTACGGGGTTTTGGGTTTAGGGTTTAGGGTTCAGGGTTCAGGGTTCAGGGTTCAGGGTTCAGGGTTTAGGGTTTAGGGTTTAGGGTTTAGAGGGTTTTGGGTTTAGGTTCAGGGTTCAGGGTTTAGGACTACGGTCTGGGGGGAACTCATGTTCAGAATAGGGTTGGTTTTCGGGTTCTATGATTTGTTTGTCTTATTCTTGCAAACCCTTTCACCACACCATGAAACCCTACACAACCCTTGACAAGCCTTATGAGATTGACTACCTTTCCCCCTAAACCCCGAAACCCTAAACCCAAAGCCCTAAACCCTAAACCCTCAACCCTAAACCCCAAGCCCTAACCCCCTAAACCCCTAAACCCCGAAACCCCTAATCCCTTAATCCCTTAAACCCTAAACCCTAAACCCCTAAACCCCTAAACCCCAAACCCCTGATCCCCTAAACCCCTAAACCCCTAAACCCCTAATCCCTTAAACCCTAAACCCTAAACCCCTAAACCCCTAAACCCCAAACCCCTGATCCCCTAAACCCTTAAACCCTAAACCCTAAACCCCTAAACCCTAAAGGTCTAAACCCCTAAACCCTTAAACCCCAAACCCTAAACCCTAAACCCTAAACCCTAAACCCCTAAACCTAAACCCTAAACCCTCAACCCTGAACCCTAACCCCCCCGGTTTTTCTAAGACGAGCCCAGGCTTGAAGTGGAACGCGGAGGCCTTCCGGACCCTGGCCGAAGGCCGGAGCGCCCGGCCTTTGCCCTAAACCCTAGGACTTCAGACCTTGGGGCTTTGGGGGTTTAAGGGTTTAGGGTTTGAGGGTTTAGGGTTTCGGGTTTCGGGTTAAGGGTTTAAGGGTTTAAGGGTTTAGGGTTTAAGGGTTTAAGGGTTTAGGAGTTTAGGGTTTGGGGTTTAGGGTTTAGGGTTTAGGGTTTAGGGTTTAGGGTTCAAGGGTTTCAGGGTTTAGGGTTTAAGGGTTTCAGGGTTTAGGGTGTAAGGGTTTAGGGTTGAAGGGCTTAGGGTTTAAGGGTTCAGGGGCCCGGCCTTTGCCCTAAACCCTAGTCTAGGACACTTTCAGGCGGGTAGTTACCGTTATAGAAGCCTTATAGAAGGTCTATATACCGTTATAGAAGCCTTATAGAAGGTCTATATACCCTAAACTCCCGACCTGTAGTTTCCTTTAACCTGGACTTCGGACCTCGGGCTTAGGGTTTAAGGGTTTAGGGTTTAAGGGTTTAAGGGCTTAAGGTTTACGGGTGTAGGGTTTAAGGGTTCAGGGTGTAAGGGTTTAGGGTTTAGGGTTTAGGGTTCAAAGGTTGAGGGTTTAAGGGTTGAGGGTTTAAGGGTTTGGGGTTTAATGGTTTGGGGTTTAAGGGTTTAGGATTTAGGGCTTAATGGTTTGGGGTTTAAGGGTTCAGGGTTTAAAGTTTTGGGATTAAGGTTTAGGGTCTACGGTCTGGGGTTGTAAGGTTAAGGGTTTAGGGTTTAGAGTGCAAGTATCTGCAGAACCTCTGTCGGGAGTTGAGGCAGCGGCGTGTCATCCTCAAAGAGGCAGTGTCCTAAAGCCCTAAAGCCTAAACCCAAGCTCACAAAATTCTTCAGCCTCTTAGCCCGATGAGTCTTGAGCCAAAAACTTAAGGTAAGTTCCTTGATAGCAGCTCTTGGTTGACGGCACCAAGCCCTACACGTCCTGGGTTTCGAGCTCGAGTAAACACCCCTCGACGAATCCGCTTCGAAGCAACAATGTGCGTTATTACGTGTTAACGTGGACGCCTGAAGCGACGGTTTCAACTACTCTCCAGGCCCGAAGACCCAAAGGAGTTTAGGCCCCGAGCCCCAAACCCGGGACCAAGAACAGCACCCTAGGCCCAAAATCCGAAGCATAGCCCTCTAGCCGCAGCCCTAAGTCTTGAACCCGAAACCCTAAGCCCTAAACCCTAAACCCAACCAGCATGGTATTCCGGCACTCTTATCAGGCGAAGGAAAAGAGGTGATAAAAAAAAAAACCCTAAACCCTAAACACGAAACTCAAGACCTCTTGTGGGTGGGTGGCACTTAAGCCCCTTGCAATCGATGTTACCTTAAAGCCCTGCCCTGCCCTGCCCTGCCCTGCCCTGCCCTGCCCTGCCCTGCCCTGCCCTGCCCTGCCCTGCCCTGCCCTGCTTCGCCCTCCTGCCCTGCCCTCCTGCCCTGCCCTGCCTAAACCCTCCAGGTTTCGGTGGCTTTTCGGCGGCGCAAAGAAAAAGGACTAACCCTGCAAAGACAGGCTGTTGCAGCTCCTCGCCAAAGTCCGATGCACTCGACACAACCTTGTCGCAAGGCACTATCGCCTAAGCGCAATGGCAAACCCTAAACTCAAAACTGCCCTAAACCCCAAACCTTAAGCCCTAAACCCTAAACCTAAACGCTGGTTACCCGGGACCACGCACTGGGAGAGGTGTTCCGGGTCAACACACGACAAAAACCCGGCAGCCGGAACCACACGACAGTGTGGCCCATAGCACAGCGGGATGGGCTTGATTTCCTATGTTCGCCAAGGCGCCGACAAGACCAATCTCCATTAGTATTAATGTCACAGTCTTTTCACCTGCGGCCCACACACAGCAGTCATGGCCACATCCGCCTCAAGGCACCGGGTTTTGCAGACCAGAAAGCCTAGCATGACGCTCCACAGCCACCGCCATCGAAGCAAACTGGTTGAAACCGGCAGACGTTGGCCGTAAGCACAGGATCTCCTGCAGCGATGCTCCGCCGCACTTCAGGACGGTGCCGGAAAGAAACCCATGCCTCACATCGAAGCAAGGTGTGTGCAAGTGGTGACACTGTGGGCCGGCCACAGGCCACGCACTGCACCACCCTGGCTAAGCCCCAAACCCTAAACCCTAAACTGTAAACCCTAAACCTTAAGACCTAAACCCTAAACCCTAAACTTTCGCCCCGAACCCTACGCCCTGAACCTTCAGCTTTAAGCCCTAAAACTTAAACTTTAAACCCCAAACCCTGAACCCTAAACTTTAAGCCCTAAACTTAACCCCCCAACCATAAGCGCTAGACCTTAAAACCCCAAACCCTAAACCCTAAACTCCAAACCCCGAACCCTAAGCCCTAAACCCGAAACCCCAAACCCAAAGCCCTAAACCCGAAACCCATGCAGGCTTCCCGCAGCAGCTGCAAATCCTGGACTTCGACCTCGACGGAGACCTCAGGTGGCGGAAGTTCATCCCGAGGGCCTTCCCCAGGTCTTAAGGGTTCTGTGAGGTTTAGGGGTTTAGGGTTTAGGATTTAGGGTTTGGTATTTGGGATTGAGAGTTCAGGGCTTAGGATTTAGGGTTTAGGATTCGAGTTCTGGGTTTCGGGTTTAGGGTTTAGGTTTTGGGATTTGGGGTCTAGAGTTCAGGGTTTAGGATTTAGGGTTTACGGTTTATGATTTAGGATTTAGGGTTTAGGTTCCGGGTTTAGGGTTTGGGAAGGGCTTGAAACATTAGAATGCACCTCCTTGTAAAGGTGTCTTTGGGGCTCATTAAGCTGGTACATCGTCAGCCTGGATTGGATGCACACTTGGAGTAATCGGATTTTCAACAAAGCCGGGGATCCGCATTTTCGGCATGCCCGATACCTGGGCAGCGACTCGTCGCCCCAGGGCGGCTATGACTACTTCGCAGTTACTGAGGAGTTTCTGGAAAGGAGTCCCGCTTTGGACGTCCTGTGCTTGCCAGAGGAACAGTTGGATGCTTTTGGAGGTTTCACCTGGAGTAGGCGCGCGTTGCCCCTCACGACTTTGGCATGTGGGCATGGTTCGGCGAGAATGAAAGTTTCTCGTCTGATTCATTTGCTGCGCAAGGAACAGGGTGCAGAAAACATGGACGGCAATATGTGCGAAGTCAAAGGCTACTTCAGCGATCAGGGAATGGAGAAGCATTTGTTCGAGTTTTTATATGAGAAAACTGCAACCCTGAGCAGCCTTGCTCGCGGCCTGCTGTCCGGAGACGTGCAGCTGGATGAGGGTTCCTTTAAGAAGTTCTGCGGGGTTCTATAGGTCACTATAAGGTTTTGTATAGTGGTTACTTCCCAAAAGGGCTACTGGGGCTTCGTTAACGGTTTAAGGCTCAGGGTATAAGGGCTGATATAAGGTTTTAGTAATTGTATATGGGCCTGGATGATCGAATAGGGCTTTGGGGCATATGAGACTGTAATTAGCATGTATGTACGTAATGTGCTGCTTGCTCCTACCGCTACAGCACTTGTACTTTTAGGCAGAGTGCTTGCAACCTTTGTTACAACATGCTTGCCAAGCACAATAACCGTGCAAGTAGGCTTCAAGACGGTAGGGATAAACCCTAATTCAGCCCTAAACCCTTCCAGTTGCGTGTGAAGGTCAGGACTAGATGGCTCAGGGTGTCACGGTGAATTTTTTCGAAGCCGTAACCCTCATCGCATGGCCTGGTAGTCCAGGGGATCGGCATCTCCAACCCAGGTACCTGCGAACGGCAAAGGGTCGTTGAAAAAACACTTGAAAACCCTAAGCCCTAAACGGCCCTAAACCCTAAACCTAAACCAACAAAACAAAAACTTAAGCCCTAGCCAAACCCGAACCTCCCTGCACCCCAAAGCTCCAAAAAGCCCTAATATAGGGGCCTAAATACGTAGTGACCTATACTATTTTCGGGAGTCCCTTACTATAGCTATAGTATACGATTCCCTAAAACCCTATTCTAATTATTCAGGCCCCTACATTAGTTGCCTGAGCTTTTCCGAACTTCAGGGAAGTGACACCGCTAGCCTCGCAGCTGGCTGCCTCGAAGCTCACAACGCTGCGTCGCTTGGTGATGTGGGTAGTTCTCTAAATTAGGGTTTAGGGTTTAGGGTTTAGGGTTTAGGTTCCTTTTAAGATCCTTTTTTACAAGGGTGCTGTACTGTGCTGGGGACCCCAAAAGGGACCCTAATTTAGAGAGCTACCCATGTATCTTAATGTAGGAACCTGATTAAGCAACTCTGGGCCTTTATTAGGGTTGTTTCTATGTGTGTTAATCCCGTGGGTTTGGGGTTTAGGGTTTAATCTAGGAACTTGATTCAGAAACCTATTCTTTGCATGAGCCCTAATACTTCGAGGAGACCGGGCCAAGGTCTATCAACCACCCTCCTGCGTTCTGGTTCGGGTTTTCGGGGTTTTGTGCTTCGGGCTTGGGCTTATAGGATTCAGGGATTAGGGTTTGGGATGTACGTAGCGTTTTGGATTCTTTTAGGTTGTGCTTGGAGGAAGGAGCCGAAAGACAAAGAGTTTAGGGTTTAGGGCCTAGGTTTTAGGGTGCGTCGACGTCACAATCCTATCGTGTCTTCTCATGCGCATGTCGCGGTCTGGAATGATGCTAGTATGGCTTGCTTTTTAGTGGTTCAGGGCCCTGAAGCTTAATATAATGATCTGCGACCTTCTGTGATATGCGGGTCGGAATAGTCCCCTAATTCCTAAGCCTGAACCCCAAACCCTAAATCTTGGGCGGCCCGCGTCAAACACCTGGAGCCTCGTCCGCCAGGATGATATTAGCACTATAACATACATATATATATATATATATATTATATACAGCATTCTATACATATATATATATATAGAGGGTTACAAGGGCAATACAATGATCGTATGGGGGGCCGCAAAGGATCATAGCGCCCTAAACCGTATAAACCCTAAATGGGGGCCCCCGAACCCTCGCATGGAGTTTGGCTCTGTCCCTCGCTCTGACAGGAACCACGTGTAGTCCATGTAGGGAATTTTTCTGAGCATGAGTGTAGTTTTTGTTTAGGGTTCAGGGTCTAGGGGTTAGGCTTTCGGGGTTCAGGGTTTAGGGTATAGGGTTTGGGGGCTCAGGATCTAGGGTAAGCTCCACACCCTAAACTCGAATCATATACTCCTAGATTCCCGTTTATACATCTCACCCAATACAAAGATCTGGCGACACGCACACACACGTATATATGTATATATGTATGTACATAGTTTGTGTTTACATAGATAGATAAATTGATCGATAGATAGAAGGATTGGTAGATAGATAGATGGATAGATAGATAGATAGATAGATGTACATGTATGTGTGTATGTGCATATGTACGTTTTTATAAATATGTATAAACACTTGTATATATATACACATGTATATCGATGCAGACATACACACAGACATACAGACACACATGCATGCATGCATGCATGCATGCATGCATGCATGCATACATACATACATACATACATACATACATACATACATACACACATACACACATACATACATAGGTGCATGCCTATATGCATGCATACATACATCGTACATCCACGCATTTAAGCCTACATCCACGCTTACAAGCAAAGCATGGGTACATACACATGTATGTACGTATATATATATATATCTATGTATGTGTTTGTGCATTTTTAATACACGTATACCGGTACGTGCATATACATACATATGTACATCTACACACACATACATACATATATGTACACACACACACACATATATATATATATATATATATACATATACATATATATATATATATCTGTGTGTGTATGTACATTTGGATACGTATATTTATATGTATATGTACATGTACATGCATATATACATCAACATGCACGTGTGCATGTAAATGTATATGTACATGTACATGCACATATATATATGTATATGCACTTGTATATGTACATGCATGTATATATCTCATGAGGGGTTGAATACTAGGCAACGATCCCCCTGACAGTTTCCCTTATAGTCGTACTGCGGAGTACGCTTAATAACTTAGTCTCATGACTGTACAAAACCCCTATCCTTTTTGCAGGCGCTTCAGGGCGTCCCCGTTAAATCCTAGAAGCTTGAGCCGTAAATTCGACCCTATACCCTTTCAAGCCACTGATCCCCGAACCCGCAGCCTGAAACCTTGGAATCCGAAACTCCGAAGCCGAAGCCCAAACCGTAACTTCCAGACCCCAAACTTGCGGTTTAGGGTTATAGGGTTTAGGGTTATTGGGTTTACGATTTAGGGTTCAAGCCCGAAGCACTCCCACGCCCTTGAAAACCCTTCCACCGAAATTCCTCACGCGCAAGGCTTGAGTCTGGGCAGCATCACCGGGGTGGAGGCCGGTGTAGGGTTTTGAAGGTTTTCGCTATCCGGTTTAGGGTTAAGGGTTTTTGGAGATGATCCGCCATTTTCAGATCTGGTGTCCTTGCTTGGCTTGTTCACTTTAGGACTCAGTCTTGCCGCCTTTATGGGGATTGTGAAAGTCGCGAGTCGGACGGTATTTATTTGGTCGTGGGCGTAGGGCCTCAGGTTCAGGCTGTGGATTTAGGGTTCTGTTCAGGGTCTGGGGAGTTTAGGGCTTAGGTTGAGGGTTTTACATTGCTTGATAAGGCTGATAAGGGTTTCTGTAAGGCTTGTTCATTATAAGATCTCCTGGGAGCATCGGGTTTGGTTTTGAGATTTGGGTCTGAGACGCGCCAATCAGCCAAACAGGAACGCCGGGGCTACGGAGCAGCGTCCGCAATGAGCGGTCGCAAGCGCAATCCCTCAAGCCTTCGAGTCTTAACCGTGACTTCAAACCCTTCACCCCCAACCCTGAACCCTCAACCCTAAACCCTAAACCCTAAACTCTAAACTCTAAACCCCTAAACCGCAACGCCAGCCCTGAGCCCCAACCACACAGCCCTTAACCAGATGCCTCAAACCCCTAACAGCCTCGTATCCCATAAACCCCCAAATTTGTAAGCTTGAGGGTTTAGGGTCCCAACCTCAAGCACCCTAAATCCTCGTCAGACTTCGTGCCACATAGAAAAGGAGTTCAACAAAATCCTAAATCCTAAACTTTAAGCCATAAGCCGCACCAAAAAATCACTTAAAGTTTGGGCTACTGTAGAAGCCTAAATAATTACCTACACTATTCTGGGGGTTCCGTATTATAACTATGGTTTTATATGCCCCAAAACCACATTCTAATTCTTAAGGCCCCTACACCCAAAAGAACCCCAAGACCCTATTCTAATTCTCAAGGCTCCGACATTTGAGGGACTCCTGGAACCCTAAACCCTAAACCCTAAACCCTAAACCCTAAACCCTAAACCTTAAGAGCGACTCCTGGAAGTCCCATGTCTCCAGGGCCTGGCTGCTCTCTTCGCCGCCCTGCCGCCGACCCTGGAAGAGTTGCAGTTGCCTG